TGATCATCTTAAAGAATTGGCTTTGTTTTTATTTTCTCTATTCTTTATCTGCTTTTAATTTCATTTATTTCTTCTCTAAACTTTATTATTTCTCTTATTTTGTTTTGTTTTAAGTTACTCTTCTTTTTCAAGTTACCTAAAGTGGAAATGGGGATTACTAATTTTAAGTATTTCTAAAATTTAAATATTGCTCTGCTTCAAATATAAGAATTTCATGTTTTAAATTTATCTTTAATTGCTGCCTTTGTTACCTCTCACAAATTTTGATAAATTATATTTTTATTTAGCTAAAATTTGTCTTGAGACTTTTTCTTTGACATTTCTATTATTTACAAGTATGTTGTTTAATCCCTAAATAGTTTTGGATTTTCCAACTACCTTTTTGTTAGTGATTTCTACTTTAATTTCAATGTAGTCTGAGAATATATTTTGTATGATTGTTATTTTTTTTTTTAACTTCTTAAGGTGTATTTTGTGGTCAAGAATGTATTTTATCTTAATGACTGCTTCCTGTGAATTTGAGAAGAATGTATAGTCTGCTATTTTGGAAAGAGAATTTTAAGAAGTTGATTGAATATAATGTTCAAATGAATTATATTGTTAATGATTTGCTGTCTGATGGATCTGTTAATTACTTTTAGGTGGGTGTTGAGCTTTCCAAGTACAATAGTGGATATGTCTATTTTTCCTTGCAGTTTATCAGTTCTTGCCTTATGTACTTTGATGCTCTGTTACGCACATAAATGTTAAGAACTGTTTTATCTCATTGGGGAATTGGCTCCTTTATTATTAGGTAAATGATACTTCCCTTTATCCTTCTTTATTTTTAATACATTTCCTTGTTGTGAAGTCTGCTTTATCCAAAATTAATATGACTGCTCAGCCTCCTTTTCATCACAGTTAGAATAATATAACTTTTTCTACTCTGTTACTATTATCCTATCTATCTCTTTCTATATAAAGTGGGATTTTGTAGACAACATATAGTTGGACTTAAATATATACATATATATGGAAAATCTTCATTTAGTTGATGTGTTTAGGCCATTCGTTCTTCAGGTGACTATTAATATAGTTCAATTAATATCTGCCATATTTGCAATTATAATTTATAATTATTTATATTTAATCTTTGTGGTGTTTTTTTGATTCTCTTTCATTTCTTCCTTTTCTGGTTTTAGTTATTTGGTTTTATTCCATTTTCTCTCCTCTTTTAACATACCAATAATACTTCTTTTTAGAATTTCCCAAGAGTTTGCAATATACATTTATAACTAATCTAAGTCCACTTTTAGTAACATTTTAACATTTTATTGATAATATAGGCATTTTATAACAGAATTTTTTAATTCCACTCTCCCATTTTTTATAACATTGCTGTCAGTGATTTAAGTTGTGTATGTACTATTACTTTAAATGAACATTTTTTATTTGATTTATTACTATAATTACAATATTTTAATTTACCTTTATTTATTACCTCTCTAACATTTTCTTTCTTTATAAAAATCTGAGCTTCTGACCTATACACACATTTATTTTCTCCCAAGGAACTTCTCTTAAAAGTTTTGTAAGACAGGTCTTCTGGTGATGAATTTCTTTAGTTTTTCTTTTATAAAGTATTTATTTCTCCTTTATTTTTAAAGAATAGTTTCACTAGAGATATTATGTTGTTATCTTTTGTTCATTTAACACTTTATTTTACTCTTTTCTTGTTTATATGGTTTATTAGAAGTCTACTGCATTTTTAAATATTTTTCTTTTTATGGCTTATCCCCATCCCCAGCATTTTATTTATTTAATTAAAATTTTATTTATTTAATATCTATCTATTATTTATTTAATTAATTAAATATAAATTTAGCATGATATTTTGTGTATAAATATTTTTATGTTTATCTTTCATAGTTTTTTGTGAGCTTTCTATATCTGTGGTTTGGTATCTATTAATAATTTTGGAAAGTTATAGGTCATTATTACTTCAAACATTTTTCATGCTCCATTTGCTTTTACTTCTTTAGGCATTCCAATTGTGCATGTTATATCTTTTGAAATTGTCCACAGTTCTTAAATATTATCTTCTGCTGTTCTCCTTTTTTTCTTGTATTTAAGCATTTAGTTTTTGTTTTGTGTTTCATTTCAGGAAGGTTCTATTGACTTATACACAAGATCACTGCTTTTTTCTTTTTGTGTCCACTCTAAGGATGAGCCTATCAGGGGTATTTATCATTTTTGTTACAGTGTTTCTTTATTTCTAGCATTTACTTTTAAATCTTTCTCAGTGATTTTTCGCTGTACTTAAAAGTACCCATCTTTTCTTGCATGCTGTTTACTTTTCCCTTTAGAACCATGAAAATATTTATGTTGCTCCTTTTAAATTAACTACTTGATCATTCCAACATATCTGTGCCATCTGTATCAGGTTCTGGTGATTATTTGGTCTCTTCGGACTTCATTTTTCTTGTCTTTTGGGATACCTTATAAAAGTTTGGTTCAAAGGTAGACATGATAGGTAATCAACAGTGAGTCAAATAGACCTTTAGTGTATGGTTCTATGTTAATCTGGCTTGTGGTTCGGTTTCATTTAATGTTTGCTGTCACTGCAGATGCCAAGGGCTTTAACACCTAGTGTTTTCTGTCTATTTATTTGTGTTTCTTTAGGTTTTCCTAAGGACTCCTTCTTACAACTTCCTAGCTGTCATTGCCTGTTGTTACAGTGGAGCCCTGGTTATGTGGTGTTAAGGACTGGTGAAAGGGAATCATTTCTGGCTTTATGATTATATTTCACTCCTTCAGTGAGGATATTTCTGGTCTACAACCTTCATAAGATTTATTCACTTTTTACCCCTTATGTGAGACAGGAAGGCTGCAGGGGTGGAGTCAGGGAAATTATCTTCTCTCAGGTGAGATAAGACTCCGGTAAAGTAATTTTTCACTGACAAGTAGGCAGTGGTAATGGAGAACATTCTGCATGCATTTCCAAGTGGTTTTCCCCCCCCTTCTCTTGGTAGAGACATGAGATGATTTTTGAAAACTTGTTTGTTGTGTGAGAATCTGTTATTGGTCTGTATCAGAACCCTACCTCAGATTGCAGCCTTCAGGTGATTTTTACTTGCACTCTAGCCCACTCACAAAATTCCAACAATTTGTTAAAATGACCACTTATGTATTCCAACCAATGTATGGTCTCTGGCAGATTCTGCCACAGGGGAGCTGATCTTGACTATTCCCTCTGCATGCACTCACCTGTCCAGATTGTAGAGTGGTGTTTTTCTCTGCAACCTGAAATATCTGATGTATATAAGAATAGTTATTGGTTTTCTATTTGTTCAGCCTTTGTTTTTTATTGTAAAGACAGGAATGACCATTTCCAAGCTCTTTGTTTGTCAGAACTGAAAACTGGAAGCTATCTTTAAATTCATTTGAACCAACATGTATGGAATATCAGCTTGAAGGATTGCCAAAGCATCAGGAGTTGTTATAGTATTCCCACATTTCAACTAACTCTGGATAGGAAGACAAGCAATTTAAACCTGAATCTCAGGTTAAATGCAGCCACTAAAATGTAAATGATTCTTATGAAAGCTGTGAGAAAAAGGAAAAAGTTTCAAAATAACAAATTATGAAAACAAATTTGTGTTAATGGATCAAGAGTGCAATTGAAAGCAACTGTATAATATAACAACAATCTAAGCTTTTGAAAGAAATATTTTGAATAAAATATGTAGTACAAACCCTATGAATAATCAGAACGAGTAATAGGTTGATTCTATTCAAAACATTTATCCTGGATTTTGAAAAAGGCCCTCAAGCTCTGAGGATCAATAGATTCATTTAGGGCAGAAGCTCTGAACTAATGGGTCAAAAGTTAAATTAGGTATTTTGATATGCTAATTAGAACGGAAGCCCTTCCAGACCAAGCTGGGGCAGATGGAAGCCAGGGTCCCAGGTGCCTGCTGGTGGCCAGAACGAAGCCCAGTTCTGGGTGTTGGAGGAAAACTGGTGACAGCAGCAGGGGGAAGGAAGGCCTACTATTGCACCGATTTTCCTGAATTGGGCCTCTAGTATTGTCAATATTCACCCCAACAGATTAGCACCATCTCTACTTTTCTCAAATCTTTGCCTTTACTATATATGCTTAAAAGTTATTTTTCTCTGTTCTGATTTTCATTTCTTCACAATGTCTATAGTTATATACCTTCTCATTTGCACACTATATATCCATATTCTTTTCTGTGAAATTCTTGTTCATACATTGTACATGAATATCTAAATTCCAAAACCTCTGCAGTTTGGTTAGCATTCTACAGATGTCATTTCTCAGGAGAGTTTTTATCTGAAGTTTCTAGAAGAGAAACTGCTTCTTCAAGGACCATGATCCAGAGAAAGATGACTGGGCAACTGCCTGGGTCAGATGCCATGTGATACTGACCTTGAGGCAAAATAGTCCTTAATATATAATCTCTGTAGGTTTTCTTTAGACTCTTGTGCTTATCATGTGTTATAGTCAAAGGTGAAACCAAGAATTAATAACTATAAAGAGTGGAATACTCACAAATTTCTCTTTTTAGACACAGTAAATACTACCTGGTAACAGACTGAAAGAGGAAAACAGTGTGGAGCTGTGGATAGAGACACTGAATCAATGTCCTCCGTAATTTTGAGAATGTTCTGAGTTTCATTCAATCAGTATTTATTGAATCCTCATTATTAGCAGCCAGCTACTAATTAATATTTTAATAAATTTTGCATTGAATAAAACATGCTTGTGTTTATTTTGGCTGTGCCACCGATGTGGATTTAAATTTAAATGTGGGAAAGGGTGGGAGAGCGTACTCAGTGTGCAGACATGAGATGCAAATGATGCCTCTGCCATTCTCCTGGTCCAGTGGCCAGAAGAATGTTACTGGCGAGTCCTATAAATTGTCAATACCTATCTGTAGTGTTACAGGCCCGCTGCTCATCCTCCTGCTCAACCTTGTGCATGTGATTCCCCACAGTACTCAAAGGCGGAGAGGCATCCTGTGACTGCACTGGAGAAAATGATGGAGTCAAGCTTTGCTGGCCCCCAGTCATTCCCAGAGGCCCCTTCTCCTGACAGAGGAAGCCAGTCTGTCAAACACCACAGGTACAGGTCTTTAATCATGGTGGAAGGGCACATTCACACCATGTGTGACTCTGGACAGCACATGCCCAGAAATGACAACAGTGTTTAGGAGAGATGATTGTTCTTGCTTCTCTTGTGGTTCTCCATGGAGTGGATGCTCAAGCAGCTCACAGCAGGTAAACCAAAGACACCAGCAGGCTGCCATGCCCTTCTACAGAGCCGAAAGGAGCTGCTAACAACACCCATCAGAGCTGCAGATACAGACCAGTGAATGAAATAATTACTTTCTGAAAAGAAAAAAAACATCCAAGAAACTATTAAAACATGATTTTCTTTTTAGCCTGCTTTATCACTCTGTGCAGATTTAATGATTAATTCTTCTCTGGGAAACTGATTTGATATGTTCCAGGTCTTTCACCATGACTCTTGAACAAAGAAACTTTCATGGGGGAAGAATCCTGGCAAATCCTCTTGAATCTGTAAGATCTATTATCAATGAGGTGGCATTCCTTGACAAGCTGACCATAGCAATTGTCCCTTTTAGGGAGAAAGCAAAAAATAATCTTATCTTACAAATTTTATGGATGGTTGAAAACTTCTTAGTCATCTTCTATGGTAGTCACATACTGTGTTTTGTACATAAGGAATCCGGAATTTTAAAAACTGAAAATCTTTGCTCTAAAACAAGTTCCAAAGTTTGAGACTAGTGCTGAAACAGACATGTTTATGTCATTTAACTGCATATCCTCAATCCTTGTAGAAATTATCCCAAGATTTGAGCTTTCTTTTCTTGGTACGAAGTATAGTATTTAAAATTTTTAAAAAACATTATCTAGAGATAAAAATTTATAAATAGAAAATATGAAAAATCACAGTTGTTCCCATCAAACCAACGTAAATATTGATTTTTACACACCAGGCTGTGCTTTGCAAACCACCAGGTCAGAAGCACACATTGTATAAGGAAACTCTCTTTTTCCTTGCTTCTCAATGGGTCCAAAAAGGATTTAATTGATGCTGACACATTACTATGAGGTTTTCTGTCACTCCATATAAGCAGAGATCGAGATACTAAAATTTTGCTGTTTTTCAAAAGGTGATTTAAATATTTTTATCTCAAGATTTAAATATTTTTAGCTATTTGATAATTGCTTTAATTATTAACTACATATTTTGATTTATATCAATTAAAGAATTTGCAGATATTTCCCTCTGGGGGGAAAAACACACAAACATTTCAGTTCCCTGGAGCTAATAGAAGTTCTTTAATTAGGGAAATAAGTCCAAAATTACCAGCCTTTTAGAAGATGAATATTTTCTCCAAAACAGCATTTTCCCCTGCTGATTATAATACATGTTAAAGTGGTGTTGCACCCAGTTAAGTAAACTAACTAAATATATTATTCCAGCATGATGTTATGCCATCCATGTTTTAAAGTTGAGATAAAAAAGAATTACAGCCGAAACCGGTTTGTCTCAGTGCTAGAGTGTTGGTCTGTGGACTAAAAGGTCCCGGGTTCGATTCCGGTCAAGGGCATGTACATTGGTTGCGGGCACATCCCCAGTGGGAAGTGTGCAGGAGGCGGCTGGTCGATGTTTCTCTCTCATCGACATTTCTGGCTCTCTATCCCTTTCCCTTCCTCTCTGTAAAAAATTCAATAAAATATATTAAAAAAAAAAAAGAAAAAGAATTACAGCTTCTATTGTATTTGCGCTGCAAATACCCTATTCTTACTCCTTGTCTGCTGACGTCCTCCCTCCTAAACGTGGCTCCTACTGTGGTTTCTAGGAAATAGGATGCCTGTTGGAGACCTTCCTTTCTGTTTGGTTCAGTGACGTTTCAGTGTTGTTGGCCTGCATTGTGTCTTGGTAGATAGGCAAGGACTAATTTATAAAGTGCCTCTAAAACTTTTTAAGTTACAGTTCAATATCTCAGAGCTTTGTTTTGTAAAACATACAGGAGACTTCAATGAGTTCATGACTGGCAGCCCTGTGACTGATTTATGTAGCCTGCCAGCAGCTCCATGACTTCCCGAATGCTCCCTGGTTAGCAGGCTGCACTAGCTGGTTGAGCAGTAATCATGGAACTGCTTTGTAAGATGAGCTACTAGTTTATATGATAGACTTTGCTGCCATGAGTTTGGCTAGCTATGAATAATTAATTTATTGCTGTGCCCTGCAACTATGACATATTTGAATAGCTCATGTATGAAGCAAAGCTATTAACTCAAAGCAATATTTCTTTTTAGTCAAAATTCTATTTCTTTTTTAAAAAGAAGTCTAATATGTCATGTCATATTTATTGCATTGTATTTGGCAGTGTAAGCCACTTATCGATAGCACATATGTAAGCATTTTTTAAATAGTGAAAGAAGTCTGAGTTTGCAATGATTAGTGGGATTCTCAAGTTGTCATTTGTGTGAGAGGAGCCAGGGGAACTCATTATGCTGAGCACCTGTTACATGCCAAACACTTAACATACTTTATTGCTTTTAACCCCTTATACATCTTATGGAAAGATGCAAGCATGATGCCAATGCCTTTCTCCACACATGTCCAGTCTTCACCTTTCTCTACCAGCATTGCTCTGTGCGCTGGAAGGGCAGCAGGCTCCCTTGTCCTCTAGCTTCTGTCAGCTCAATGGGAACACCCTGCATGAGATGGAAGAGCCAGGGAGAGCAAGGTTCCAGTACTTCTACCCTCCCTCCCCGCTTGGCTGCCTCAGCTCTGTCCCTTTTCCTGGGGCCAAAGTGCCTGGCAAGTGGCCCTCTCCTTACAATCCCCTTGTCTCTCCATTCTGGTAATAGCTCCCTCCCCTGTCTCTTGGGTTACAGGAAGAGTAACAGCTGCCTGTTGTCACTAGCCCTGACATACAGCATTATCTTCTGTTGTCCTTTTTTCTCAAATACTGAACACATCTCTGTAAATGGCAAAATTTCCCCCAAATGACCCAATTAAGAGTGCCATCTATCTTCTTCCAAGACTCTAACTGGTACGAGTACTTCCCCCAGTGCCATGCTGCTAATGATGTACAGATCCACACCCAGATCCAGCTAACCCATGCACCTAAGCCTGAGCAACCTTCAGACTCCATAACTGCTGCTGGATGGTGCAGACAGAAGCTGGAGGGAGGGAGGTACATGTGCTACTACAGAGCTTCTTAGGCTTGTTGGTTTAGTGAGACCCCTTAATATTAGGCATCTTGGGACTCAACTTACAAGAAATATTAAGAGAAAAAAATTACATAAATTGTAATAATCTGGTGTTTATACTAACTCAGGAAGTCCATGTTGGATTGAGAATATGAAGTTTGATCAATCATCTTAGTTCTCAAACTCTGGCCTTAAATTATATTTAAGAAGTTATTTTGTTTAGTAGAAATGATGGCAATATTCATGCAGAAAAATGTACAAAACTCCAAATAATAAAGTTATATGGGTAAACTCCTTTGGGGTACTTGTCTATTTAAAACTCCATGGACTTGCTGATATTTTGAAAATGTTTGTAATCTTTTCTGTATAGTTTTATGTGATTGAATCACATAAATTGTCATCTTAGGAATGTGTACATAGGAGCCAGTTCTCTGTCTGGTTCCCATGGAGTAGGTGAAATTCAGTGGGGAAGATTTTTAGAAAGAATCTTATTCTTTTGTTTAACATGATCTTTATAGGGATCTCACATAAAGTATATTTAATTTTTACCTTTTGCCCTTTAGGGGCATCTGAAAATTGTTATTTTGGCATTTAGATGTAATAGTCAGAATGAGATGTTCAGTAAAAGCAAACTGGAAAAGGAAAATAATTTAGTTTCTCAAGATGGAAGGAATTTTGAGATAATGAACTGAAAATTTAGCACATATGTTAAGGAGAGAATGCCGATCATAATAAAGTTTGTTTATTCTACCACTAACACAAGTGACATTTTCCCTGTAGATCCCTTCAGGGCTTCCTGCATTTGGTGCTTGTCCATGTCTAATAAGAAAGCCACGTTTACTATTATTAGAGAGACAGCCACTGTAGCTTAAATACTGAGGACTGATGGGAATCAGGAGCTTCAGGATTCCTTAAACCCACCTCTTAATTTGTCTGGAAAGCAGTAATTTTAGTCCATTGTGCTCCACATTAGAAAGCCAGAAACACAAAAATGGTCTCTTGGTCTCAGCCTTTGCCAGGGGAAATGGACTTGGCAACTTCTGATCCCTCCTGGCAGATACACTCCAGTCATGGAGAATGGCCTGGGACTTGGAGGCTTTCAGGTGCAAATGCAGTATTTAAAGAGTTTAAAGAGTTTGAGCAGCCACCTGTAAGGTTATGGCTATGACCAATGTGCTGGTTTTCTCTCCTGCAGCCGAAGTCTCTCCTCCTGCTGCAGTCCAGGACAGAGGAGTGGGGTGCTCCACCGGAACGCCTTCAGGAGGACGCCCCCCTCACCCCGAAATAGGCTGGGCGGGATTGTGGGGCCAGCGTATCAGCAACTTGAGGAATCAAGGATCCCTGACCAGGATACAATACCTTGCCAAGGGTAGGTCTGAAAACAATGACATGTAGGGAGGGTGTCATTAGTGCTATAGCTTTAAATTGAGTTGCTATGTTCATTGGGGTTTTTATTTATTGATTTTTTGTCATCAATTAGCTATTTATACTTCCTTTCTTCTTTGTTCCACAAAGGTGAACTAACTTAAAAGATTAGGTACAATGGAAATAGATATTAGGGAGGTGTTTAATAAAAAATAAACATAACACTAGCAAGAAAACAAATGTATACATATCTAGGCATTTTGTTATTAAATAGTTGCTAAAACAACTTAGAATTTGTCTTTGATTTAAAAAACTAGAGATTTCTTAGGAGGAATAAAGTGTTTCTTTATTCTTAGGTTGAAAAAAAAACTACTTAATTCTCTGATAAGTATGACTGTGGACAATAAGTAACCTATAGTGTATGTGTATATATATATATATATATATATATATATATATATATATATATATATATATATATATATATGAGTGTGTGTGTGTGTGTGTGTATAGGAGCAGTTTGCATATTTGATTTGCATATGCAGTTTGCATTTTTATTTGCATATGCAAATCAACCAAACAGTGGAATGACTGGTCCATATGATGCATGCAGGAGCTGTCTCCTAGTGGTCAGTTGCGCTCCTGTAGGGGAAGCCCAGCTCAACCAGCAGAGGCTCACGGCTGGTGAGAACAGTGGCAGTGGCAGGAGAGGCTCTACAGAAATGCTAAGAAGCCCTAGGGGATGTGTGACTGCTGGCTTAGGCCCACTCTCTCTGGCAGGCAGACATTCCCCAAGGGGTCCCAGACTGAGATGGTGCAGGCAAGGCTGAAGGCCTCCCCCCTCCAGTGCACAGATGTCATGCACCAGGCCTCTAATATATATATTTTCTATCATTCTATCTAATAAAAGAGTAATATGCAAGTTAATCATCACTCCACTCCACAAGCCATGCCCAAAAGCCAATCAGAGCAAGTATACAAATTAACCCCAACCAAGATGGCTACAGCCACAGAGGCTTGGGTTTCTCTGGCAACAGAAGAAGTCAAGTTTTCCTCCTGTCCTAGCAGGCCTAAGCCTCCACTCAAGGCTACAAAGTTTCAATTATAGAAGGTAAACAAATCCAAACAGAAACCACTGCTGCCACTGAGGGAGCAGGAGGCTTGGCTCTGCTCCAGGCTACAAAGTTTCAATTGTAGAAAGTAAATATATCCCAGAAACCAGGCCCTCTGCTTGGGTGGCTGGGGGGCATAACCGGCCTGCAAACCACCACAGGCCCCTCACTCAGACCACAGCACGCCCCAAGGGAACCCTTACCCTGATATGGGACACCCTTCAGGGCAAACCACCTGGCCTCCACCCATGCATCAGGCCTCTATCCTATCTAATAAAAGAATAATATGTAGATTGACCATCACTCCAACACACAAGATAGCTGCCCCCATGTGGTCAAAGATCCTGCCCCATTGTGGACACAGGATGGCCAGCAAGGGAAGGCAGATGGGAGGCACCAGGCCTGCAAAAAAGGGCAGTTGTGGGTGTTCAGGCAAGTAGGGGAGGGCAGTTGGGAGGCACCAGGCCTGCAAAAAGGGCAGTTGTGGGTGTTCAGGCAAGTAGGGGAGGGCAGTTGGGAGGCACTAGGCCTGCAAGGGAGGGCAGTTGAAGGTGATCAACCCTACAGGGGAGGTGACCAGGCCAGCAGAGGAGGGAAGTTGCAGGCAAACAGGCTGGCAGGGGAGCAGTTAGACATCAATCAGGCTGGCATGGGAATGGTTAAAGGGTGATCAGGCTGGCAGGCAGAAGCTGTTAGGGGAAATCAGGAAGGCAGGCAGGCGAGCATTTGGGAGCCAGCAGTCCTGGATTATTAGAGAGATGTCTGACTGCCTGTTTAGGCCCAATCCTGAATTGGGCCAAAACGGGCAGTCAGACATCCCTTGAGGGGTCCCAGATTGGAGAGAGTGCAGGCTGGGCTGAGGGACAACCCCCACCCCGCCCCATGCAAGAATTTCGTGCACTGGGCCTCTAGTATATATATCTGTAATAATAAAAACAATATGTTTATTAGACTGGATGACCTTCCAGATGAGGCCAGAGATGCAAGGGCTGAGGTGTCCATTGTGGCAGGCAGGGGCTGAGGCAGAGGCAGTCATGGCAGTGGTGGGGGCCAAGCTCCATGCATGAATTATTGAATTATGTCACTGGGATATATATATATATATATATATATATATATAAAATCTGCTTCCATCAAGCATCCTTAAATGTCTTAGTTAATACTGACAGCATGATTTCAAAGTACAATTTGCTGAACTCTGGTCTCTAGGTTAATTCATGGTACAGGGATGGAAATATGGGCTTTGGGCATGACAACTGCTATTCTTCCTTGCAGTGCACGGTTGTCCTTCCTCTAAGTGAACACAGATCCTTACAGGGCTCAAGGTGTAGTGAATGGAATGGAGGATGAACTTTAGTCCCATTCACCTAATGGACTGTTCAACCAAACATGTAGCTCTTACTTGAAATGACTAAAGCTCCAATCTTTGGCCCTTACATCTTGTGTGAATTTGAGATAGTTTTATGGTCTAAGCTTAATTTTTTTCATCTATAAATTGAATAAAAATAATACAGCCTTCCCCAAGGTTGTTGGGAAGATTTAAAAAAAATATATGTGTGGAAAGAGCTTGTACCTTGTCACATGATAAGCAGAGGTAGTGCTGGTTTGTATTGTCTCAGGAACTGTTATAAAATTATTATTGATTTCAAGAATAATGCAACCAGGGTTTACAACAGGAATTTCAGGACTCTGTTCCCTCACACAAGCCAGGTTCTTATCACATCTAGTTTTTATCTCTCTGGATGAGCCAGTCCAGGTTTCTAAGCTGCTTTGCCCTGGGTGATGTCCCCACACTGTCTCAAGGTGGAGGCCTAAGCAAATAGGAAGTCCATCTCAGGGCCTTACCCTTGTCTTTTCTTTTGGGCAAGAGATATGTGCATTTCTACTCTGTCTGACAAAGCTCAGCAACAGATTTCTTTATGAAGACAAGGAGACAAGAATTAAATAGCCTGTGGCTGGGTTTTGTAATTTTGAAGCAATTCCAAATGTAGTGCAAAATGTAGTTGGTATAGATCTGCAAATTCAACATAACAGCCAACTTATCCAAAATGTATGACATAATGCAAGTCAAGAAGTAGCTAGCGTTTCTCTTTGCCTTATATCTAGAAAAGGGACTTGTATTTAGCCTATAATGATAACTAGTCAGATTTCATAATTATTTTCCTTCTTAAGCCACTGGTAATGTCCGTTGACAAGGATTAGTATATTTTATAAATAGAGAGAGAGCCCAGCTCATGCTTTTTTTTTTTTTTTTTTTTTTTTTTTTTTCTGATGGTCATGTTTTGGCTGTCATTCCTCATGTCCAGGTGTAAGGATGCTCTGAGCTGCTCTGGGCACAGGCTTCAACCACACATACATGCATTTTCAGAGGTGCCCCTTGTATGTTCAGAGGTGCCGTGCTTTGTCTTTTACCTCCTGAGAAACTTCCGTTTACTATCTGCATGGCAGTAGTTTTGTTTTGGTTCAGTCATCATCGGGGCTGGAATATTCTCTCCAGCTGGCTGGCCACGTGTATTTTCCTGTGTGTGATATGCACCCAGTGTTGATAAATGGTGACTCTAAGTATAAGTCACGGTGTGCTCAGCACAATGAATCTCAGGGAGCAATCTCATTCTCAGTTCTTGAAAACAGCTATTTTCCACTCCTGGGGGACCTTCCATCTCTCTGGACTGGAAATAGGATTGGTAATAGAATTTCACAGTTAAAGGCCCTCTTCAAATCTAGCCCTAGCCTGAAGGGGCAGTGATTGAATTTGCAAGGGCCATCCGCCATCTGCTGCTTATTTATCAAGCATGTGGGCGCTGTCTGCTAAGGCAGGCTTAGGTGGTGGGACTTCTCTCTGTGACACTGACTTCGGCCCAGTTTGAACCAGTAGTTCTCTCAGTGAAGCCTGAGGAAGGTGTGCACTGGTAACTATTCAGGAGCCTTTCCCCTGATTAGTGGGATCAGGGATAGCCACGGCAATGGCTCCCAGAGCTCTGAGCTGTGTTATGTCAGGCAAACCAAACTGATGTATTCACATGCTAGACCAGTGGTTGGCAAACTGTGGCTCACGAGCTGCATGTGGCTCTTTGGCCCCTTGAGTGTGGCTCTTCCACAAAATAGTACATGCGGGCACATATGTACCGTGTGATTGAAACTTCGTGGCCCATGTGCAGAAGTCGGTTTTCAGCTCTCAAAAGAAATTTCAGTCGTTGTACTGTTGATATTTGGCTCTGTTGACTAATGAGTTTGCCTACCACTGTGCTATACAGAAAGAAATGGAGTCACAAAAGCTAGACCACCACCTTCAAAGTAGAAGGGATATGAAGTATACTGACTGTTTACAGTATATAACCTCCCAATCCATGGGTCAACTCTCAACCACTGAGCCTCATCGGCCTGGCAATATTTCACTTTTTCACCATAGTTACTGAGGAAATGCACTGGTGATTTCTTTGTTGAGGTATCAGAGGAATGACAGCCCAAATTGGCATTTTACAGTCAATGAATGACAAGCTCATGGATCAAAACTGTGAATGAGTGAGCGACTGTCAGGGATTCAGACCTATGTCTTCAACCCAGATCATGTCTAGAAATTGCGCTCTCACTTAAACTCATGAAGAAGAATAATCTGCTTCTCCTCAATACCAGTGCTGGACTCTCACAGACATGAGGAGGGAAGTGAGGGTTTACCAGTGTCCTCTAGGGAGTAGTGCAGATGCATTACTTCAGTTAGTTCTCAGAGCAATCCCCCAGGGCAGTGTACCACCTGATTGTTTTCACTGAGGAGAAAATTAAAAGGTTGCTGCAATTCATTTAAAAATGGTGTTGGGGCTTGAAGTCATCTGATCCAAAACAAAACCACATTTGGGAGAGTTCTATTTGCTTAGAGCCCATCTTCATGTTATTGGCAGCTGTGTGTCCCGTGTCCCTTAACTGACTTGTGAGGTGACCTATAGGTCAGCTGCAATCCCTCTTTCTTATCTAAACCCTTAATTCAGCAGTCAGACTTGTTAGAAGTCTGCTTAGAGTTTGGCTTGAATTGCCTTTGATCACTTCTTCATCAGGCCACATTGTTGACTTATTGAAGCAGTGATTGTCTAAATCCTCTAAGATATTACACATTTTTCTAATAATAAAGGGCCAGTGCACAGATTCATGCACTGATGGGGTCCCTTGACTTGGCCTGCACCCTCTTGCAATCTGGTACCCCTCAGGGGATATCAGAAAGCCGGTTTTGGCCCAATCCCCACAGATCAGGCTGAGGGATCCCACCTGTGCATAATTCTGTGCACCAAGACTCTAGTATGCATATAAGATCTTTGGTTAATCTCTTCCTGCTCTTCCCACTGCCCCCTTCCCTCTGAGATTCATCAGTCTGTCCCATGTTACCATGCCTGTGCATTGAATGTCTGCCCCCTGGTGGTCATTGTGCATTATAGCTACTGGCTGATTGGCCCGTCGGCTGGTCGGCTGGTTGGCTGGTCACTTAGGCATATATATATATATATATTTTTTTTTTTTTTTTTCCTCCCAAATAATGTTTAGATCCTAGTATAAGAATTTGCATCTGTGACCATCACATTTTAAATCTATTAAATTCTACCCACTGATATAGACTCATAATATTTATGAGAAATACAATTTTATCCTAATTACATTTTTTGTCTCTGTGAGGTTAGTGAATCTGGTAGTAAACATTCTGTATCTTCAGAGCTATGAATGGTGTTAATCGCATGATATTCAGAACAAACATAAAACCCTCTAATTGGTTCCATCTCTTCTTAATGAAATTAAATAGAACTCTTAGGTTTAGATTTTTAGTTCCATAACACCAAAAGCAAATAGACCCAAATCCCTGGAAAAGTTCCTTGTACATGGTGGCTAAACACTTTACACAGGTAGAAATTGCACATTCTTTAAAAGGTGTTTTAATGCAGCTTGAATATCCACTCATTTCTGGCTTTCAAAGTAACAATTAAAATAAGGCAACTTGGGGTTAACTTCTTCCTCATCTGCTTACTAATGGTAACTTGTGACAAATCACTTTAGTACCCTTCACTCCAGTTTCTTCATTAATTACATGGTAATACTAATATATAAACCACAGTTCTTTAAAAAAAAAAAAATAGTGAAGCAATTAAAAGTGAACGTGCTTTTTAAAAACACCATGTAGCCTGACCAGCATGGCTCAGTGATTGAGCATCGTCCATGAACCAGGATGTCACGGTTTGATTCCCAGTCAGGGCACATGCCTGGGTTGTGGGCTCAATGTCCAGTAGCGACATGCAGGAATCAGCTGATCAATGATTCTCTCTCATCATTGATATTTTTATCTCTTTCTCCCTCTCCCTTCCTTTCTGAAATCTATTAAAAACATCTTAAAATAAAATCAGTATGCAAATGTTAGCTCTTGTTATTATGTTTGAAATGGATGCTAATTGGGGCACAAAGTGTTTATCTCTAAGATGTGCTATGTACTCACATGCCTATTCCATCAAGGTTTATTGGTTACCTACTCTGTACTAGGCACAGTGAGAGAGAGGGTGGGAATATAAAGACACCTAATTTGCTCCCCATCTTTTCTCCCCGTATGATAGCTTTACTCCCATCATGCCCTGGAATAAACACTTCTATTTGGTATGCTACACTCTTTATTGCAATTATTCTTTCCTTGTATAAACATGACTTTTATTTACATTACAATGTAGCACTAGGGAATGATAGTTATTATATGGAGAGTAGATATGTTTAGGTTACACAAATGTTAATGTTCAATTTAATGTTTTAATTAAGGACAAATAGCAGAAACAGAGTAAAAACTACTGTCAAACTCCCCAAACCACATTTCTTTGAATCTATGACTAGCTGTCCCACCTTGTGGCACTGAAAGCTCAGAGTCACTGAGAACTTCAGGAGCTCTGAACAGGCCAGAAAGGGCTTCGTCAGATTCTGGAATCTTCAATTGACTTGAATGGCAGGTTGGTATTCTTGAAAAGCCATTGATATGCACCAGTGAGCTGCCTTCCTTGGCTGCAGAGACCACGCATGGAAAGTTGCTAGATTGGTAGAGGCCTTACAGAGCTCACTTCTTGCTTGTCCTTGGGCAGAGAGAAGAATCTTGTGCCTCCCATTTCCCATTTCAGCAGTTTGTAGTGAGGCAGTTTGTAGTGTTTGTTCCCCTAGAGTTGTGAAGCAGAAAAACTCTGGACTCTAGTACCTTACTGCTTAATGAGGGGCTTCCCAGTTTCTCCAAGTAGGTTGGCCACATGAGTGCTAAACCAGGGCTGAGAGGGTGGTCGAGTTGATGGAGCGATGCCGTGATGGGTTTCCTGTTTGTCACTATGGGAAGGCCACACTTACTAGTACCTGCTCAATCCCCATTTACTTTGTATTCTAGGATAGAGGTCAGGAAGACTATATCCCACCTGCCTATACAGCTGTGGTGTGTTGAAAGATCCCTGGACTTAAAGTAAGAAGATCTGGGTTTGAGTCTCAGTCTGTCACTTATTTTCTGTGTGACCTTGGGCAAGTCACTGCACCTATCTGAGCTTCAGTTTCCTTCTCTGTTTATCTGGGAACATATTCTGCGTCTGATGGGGTTGCTGTGAGACGTCAGTGAGGTGGTGCATGTGGCAAGTGCTTTGCTGGCTGGAGCGTGCTCTGAAGAAGCCCCGGCAGAAGGCAGACTGTCTAACACGCTCTTTCTTTTCAGGTATTCATCCACCGGTTTAAAAACCCAACAGGATGCATCCGCACATATGCAACTGCCTTCGAGAGAGACAAACTCCTATTTTAATAGCTTGGATCAGAAGGACCTGATGGGATATTCATCCCCAAGGGCCAGTTCTGTGCCCATCATCCCTTCGGTGGGGCTGGAGGAAACCTGCATGCAAATGCCAGGGATTTCTGAAGTCAAAAGCATCAAATGGTGCAAAAACTCCTACTCTGCTGATGTTGTCAATGTGAGTATTCCAGTCAGCGATTGTCTTTTAGCAGAACAACAAGAAGTGAAAATATTGCTAGACACTGTCCAGGAGCAGATCCGAATTCTGACTGATGCCAGGAGGTCAGAAGACTACGAACTGGCCAGTGTAGACGCTGAGGACAGCGCGAGTGAAAACACCGCCTTTCTCCCCCTGAGTCCCATGGCCAAATCAGAACGGGAGGCACAGTTTATCTTAAGAAATGAAATACAAAGAGACTCTGCATTGACCAAGTGACTTGAGATGTAGGAATCTGTGCATTCTATGCTTTGCTCAACAGGAAAGAGAGGAAATTAAATACAAATTATTTATATGCATTAATTTAAGAGCATCTACTTAGAAGAAACCAAATAGTCTATCGCCCTCATATCATAGTGTTTTTTAACAAAATATTTTTTTAAAGGGAAAGAAACGTTTCAGGAGGGATAAAGCTTACCACGAAAGCTTTTGGGTGGAATTCTGAATACAACTTCAGTTAGTCCCCACGCTGTCCTCTCTGGCTCCTGGTAGATGTGGGCGATTCAGCCCCTCAGCCCCACAGCAGTGTCCTCGTCACAGGGCACTGGCAGGTGCCTGGTTTCAGAGACAAGCCTCACCCCGAGGGAGGGTGTGCCAGTGGGCAGACAGCCCTTGCCATTTGGCTTGGCAGTCCCAACCCCTAAATTTCTCTTCACTCGACAGCCTCATCACAGGTTATGTCATGCCAACCAAGGTAGTGTTTTCTATTTCATTTTGAGAATGGCACAGGCCTGGGAAGGAGAAGGAGGACAGATATGGAGGGAGCCATCGGGGTAAACTCAGCTGCTTTTTCGTGCCATCTTCCTCTAAAATTTGAAGGTGCCGAATCTCAGAGGAGGATATGAAATCAATATATAAAAAAGGACAAAAAAATCAGTGTCATGTCACTAAAGTCATGCTGATAGAAATGTTTTTCTTTGAGATCATTTAGGACGCCAAAGGAGCATTTCTCAGTGTGTGTGTGTGTATGTGTGTGTGTGTGTGTGTAAGAGAGAGAAAGAAAGAGAGAGAGAGAGAGAGAGAGAGAGAGAGAGAGAGAGAGAATGTGTGTGTGTGTGTGTGTGTGTGTGTGTAAGAGAGAGAGAGAGAGAGAGAGAGAGAGAGAGAGAGAGAGAGAGAGAGAGAGAGAATGTGTGTGTGTATGTGTGTGTGTGTTTGCTCCCTTGAGTACTGGTATGCTGTATGCACATGTGTTCATTGTGAGTATGTGTGTGCATGTGTGTGTGTGTGTGTGTGTGTGTGTGTGTGTGTATTAAGCTTGCTAAAATTTGTTCTGAAACATCAGGGAATCTAATATTAAAAAAAAAAATTTCCCTCTTAGATCTGTTCACTTTAAATTTTTCCATTAAGTATAAAATTCAGTTAGTAAGTTCTTACATCAAAATCACTTGCATGGTGGGGTCCTATAAAACCGTTGACAATGTCTAGACCATTTTCTGATGTGAATACTTCTGAGAGGAACAACTGTAGGTTCATTGATGATATCTGTATCACAGGAGAGTTGAACGTGTGTGTTTATTTTGAATCATGCGTACTTAGATGATTTACACAACCAACGACCAAATTGACAGTTATCCTTTGCTTTTTTCATGAGCCTCATTAGTATTTATTTTGTAGCTAGTCTACAACTTGTGGACCAAGATATTGGCTTCTGTGGTGAATATGGAAAGAATAAATTGTTGAAATCACAAAGCCAAGTATTCCGTTCACAGGAAGCCCCAAAAGAAACGTAAATTGTGTTGTATGTTCATTTGGAATAAAGCAATATTTTTACCACTGCTGAGGTGAGCGGGGACGCCTCCTGGAGACTTGTCTGTTTTATTTACCCTGACTTTGATGGGGGAATTCAAAAAAATTAGTGTTCACATAACCAGTCTTTTTTCCAATTATTGGTGGTGTTGTTATGTTTACACTGTTTTAAATAAAAAGGCACAGTATTTGAAAGTATATAAAAGATTTCTTTGACTGCAGTTGGGAAAACCTTGCTTGAAATTGTCTTTTTCCATTGAAAAGGAATGTAACTATTTCAGAATCAGACATTGAACATATACAACTCTTATTTGAAGTTAAGTTGTTTCTGTTGAAAATACATTGCAAATTGCTCTTTGAGAACATTCTTTAATAATAGACACAATGCCACACAGGGGAAGAAAGAACAGTATGTTTTTCAGCACTGTTTTGTGAAAATTCAAGGTCTCAAATGTTGAAAACATTTTGGTAGAGATGCATTTTATATACAACAAAAGGTTCATGGTACACATTAGTTATCCCATTACAGTTTTTTTTTATTTATAGGTAATGTTAGCCTCTTAAAAGATGATTATAATTTTTATTCCTAGATCATCTATGTTCTCTTTTTAAAATATGATATCTTTGGGGAAAATTTGGAAAAATAGTCTTAGCAGGTATATAAAACCCTCTTAAGGTACATATCAAATATGTTATTGTCTTGAAATTTACAATAACTATAAACATTGACTAGAAGGCCTCATGTTTGTTGATGTCAACCTTGTTCTTGGTTTTTTGTGGGGGGTTTTTTTCACTGAAAACGTTACTTGTTGCTTATCTGAAGGAGTCTACATAATTTACCTATTTAGGAGGTTATGTACTCCATGACTCACTGCGGTTATGTTAATATATTATTTACTCTGCAAAGATTATCAGTTAAACATAAGTCCTGGTCCAACCCATTATTTTTTAAAGAAGAACCACAGATTGTGTGAATGTAAACACCCTGGTGCATTCTGAAGAACATGACCATCAGGCACACCTACTGGCAGTCTCATGCGAAATTAGAGATAGTGTTATTTCCTAATTGATAAGTCCAAACAAACTCTTCCATAAAGAATAAATATTAATGTTATTTTTAGTGGTCATTTCTCTCCTTTTGGAATATGAAGCTCTCCTTTGAAAAAGGTCCAAGCTCAAAATGCTCATTTTGGGCACCAGCAGACAAGTGCTGAGAGCATCAAGACTTGCGAAGCTGATCTAACGTGGCAAACACCTGGAGCCATCGGTCCTTGGCCTTCGAGCTGGTGTGCCCACAAGGAAACACTGATTTCTACAAGACACCTGTGGTTTTGCTTCACTTCCCTTGTCTTTATTATGTAACCAGGTTTGTAATTAGGTCAGTTGGATATTTGTTATTAACTAGAAATGAATGTCAGTCGTTATTTTTACTCTGAATCACCTTCTGATATGAACGTTGTTCATAAAGCCTATGTTAGTCCAATTTGCCAGTGACTGCCACGGAATGCATTGGTTCAAAACATCTGACCAATTTTATGCTAATGAGAAACAGTAGAAACAATGTTGGATAGTGGGCATCCACATTTTCTTCCTGGTTTTCCTATGCACACAAATTATGAAGTGCTCTGTTTGATACTCTAGTCCTGCATCTCTCTACTTTGCTATGGGTTAAGGACTAAATATTTATAAGTGACTCACATTCCTAATACTTTACATCATTTCTAAGCATCAGCTGCAAGACCTTCTGTAGGAGAAATAGTGCTGTTTTCAGGACTTGTCAAATTAGTCTGTTTTGATCATAGTGACATATCAGACCTGCCAAAAAGAGAACAGAAGGGGCAAGCTGACACTGCCTTCCAGAGTAGATGACAGTAAATCTACAATGGGAGTGAGTCCCCGGTGACCATGGCCAAGGCCAAGGCTGTCCATGAGCAGGTGTCTACCAGAACACACTGGGTGCCATACCTCCCGGCAGCATGGTGCTACAGGAAACCACGCCTCCCTCAGTGAGGGGGTGGTGGTTCCTCACTTCCAGCCCATAATCCAGAAAACATTGCCCTGAGACAAGTGCTGTGAGACATTCCTCAAGAAAGCATGTTGTACACATACCTAGGAACCCAGTAGGAGGGGTGGGATTTTTATTTGATGTTTTGGTACCTGAGAAACATTTTATATATAAGAAATACTTTTTTATTATTCAATTGTGTAGATTCAGTGCAGTGTGTTCAGTGACAGCATGCCTATACTGTGTTTGTACTTTAGTCTTCAGAAATTCAGTCTTTATCCAGCGAAAACCAGTACAGTGTTTCGAGGGTGTCCTCAATTTTAAGTGTATCCCAACATTTCATGGAAAATGAGGCCTTTAAAATAAGCTTTATCTCTTTCTCTTTTATTCTTTCCCTTTTAAGAAATAGTGAGGGCAAAGCAAGAAATTCATTCCTTGTTTTTTCATAACAATCTGTTTTCTACTGTGACCACACACATGCACAAACATACAAATATGAATATTAAAAATATATATGTATACTATATATATTACATTTATGTGTTTCGTTATTTTCATAGCTTTGTTTTTGTTTAAATTGACAAATAGAAAAGCGATGGCCTTCAGGAATGCCAATGAAATCAAATCATGTTGTGCTCTGTCAACATTTAGATTGTACAGGTATTTTTCAGTTCTTTTTCTTTTTGGGTAAGCAGACATGTCCTCAGGTTGGAAAAATCAAAAGAACATGAAATAAAATCTCTGCTAGATTATCTCTTAGAAATGAAGATTGAACTATGAGTGTATATGATTGCTGAACCTATAACGTATGAGGATCTCAAGTATGTTTTTTACAAATTAAATTAACTTCTCCCAAGGGTCCCTTACATAGGTGCCTTTGACTTCCAGCACGCCTTACACTCCAGTGAGGTGAAGGTGGAGGGGACTATGGGTAGTGTTGGATACCCAGTGATGACAATAGCAGAGGTGAGCAGACCTAGATGTACTGGGCTTCTACTTCTTTGATAACTTTCTGGCATAATTCCTGTATTGATTGCATGTGTAATCTTGCCTATGAAAGAATTGTGTGATAGTAAGCAATCTCTTCTGTTGGAAATGCATTACAAAATCATTATATTGAAAGCCGTCTTTGTGAAAGCTTCTACCTTATCTGCCCATAATAGGGGTTCCATGACACCATTTAGCAAATAAGGAGGATGATCTAGTTCATCTCCAACTTCTTTCCAAATTGAATACCTTGCTATCCAATCATTATAACTCAGACATTATCTCGTCACTTGCCATCCTATTATTTCAACACAATCCTTTAGAAAGTTAATGGTTATAAGACTATCTCTGTAAGACTAAAAAAAAATAATTGGAATCTGTATATGAATCTATGAATAAGACTTAAATGTACAATGCTCCATTTCATTTCCTTGCAGAAATAGATAAGATTGCTTTTGTGATTGTTTTTAAAGTAACTTTACTTAGGACAGATAATAAAAATGAAGAGTTGACCAAGAAAA